GAGAGAGAGAGAGAGAGAGAGAGAGAGAGAGAGAGAGAGAGAGAGAGAGAGAAATATACTCTTTCCGTGTATTTCAAATTTCATAAACATTCCAGACCACCGTCTATAATTAATTGCGAATAATATTAACGTTGCAACGCATTAATTTTCCAATTTATCGCGCATATCGGGTGATATATTCGTTATATTATATTTTTATATTTATATTATATTTTTTTATTTATATATAATTTGTTGGTCCCCGCGTCTATTACATGATTAAAGAAGCACTTGATAAATAATGACGGCAGAAGTACTGGCCTGCGCGTATTTCGATTTTCATTGATATTACGCACAGTCGTCGAACGACACTGCGATTTTAACGGACGCGCGAAACACACGGTGTAGAGTCGCGATGAATCACACGTCGACGTCGATCAAACTTATGACTAGTCGGTAGGCACGCCGCAAGAAAATGTCAGTCAGTCGCGTCGCGATCAAGATGCACGGCGTTATCTTAACTCGCGTGGAGTTTAATTAACGCGGTGAGAGGACGATCTTAGCGGCGTTATAAACGGGCCCTTAAGGGGAATCCCTCCGAACAGAGACAAATCCACTTTATAAATCTTACCGAGAGTAAACGAGAGAAGTTCGAAAAGGGATATATGTATCTCTCTCCGATCAGGCTATCAGCCGGGCATTTAATTACGTGGATTCATTGTTACACCGAAATGAAAGGGCATGGGGGCAAAGGGAGAGGCAGAGGAAGTATGTCTCTTTTTCTTCCTTTTGCTTTTCCTCGAGACGTTCTCGGACGAAGCCGATACCCAGGCTACTACTCCCACGCGTTGTCCTTAAATTCAAACGCTCCCCTTGGAGCGCACAATCGCCGCGATCGGCCGCGCGCGGCGTCTTCCGGGCTCGCTCAATTAACGTCATGTCCGCCGTCATCGATTTTCAGTATGTACGCCGGCGGAGGCACACGCAGTTGATGGAGATCGAATTGATCAAGGGAAACAAGGGCCTCGGCTTCAGCATCGCCGGCGGTATCGGCAATCAGCATATACCGGGCGACAATGGGATTTACGTGACCAAAATCATGGACGGCGGGGCAGCCCAGGTCGACGGTCGCCTGGTCGTCGGTGACAAGTTGGTGGCCGTCAGGAACGCTCTGGTGAGTGAATACACAGCGTTTGCCGTATTTATCCGTGGCGTCGTTGAAATACCGGGACGACGATCGTGTATCGCTTTCACCTCTACTCGGTCTCTGAATTGCGATCGGTGCAAAAGTATCAGACACACTCTCTGGCTCGCGCATTTGATATATATAATCTTATTCTTAGCAGAATCCTTGAGATCCTAGAGGATTTCACTCTTATATATGGCCCCGTGAGGATTCACGCAAGAGAAAAATATTCTAAGCACAGTATTTCTTAAAGTTAGAGGAAAGTGTCCTTAAAGTTGGAGGAATTTCGTTTCACGTGGACTAGTCTTTTCGCGCATGTGCAGCGTAGCGCTCTTGCCCGAGTCAAAATTTAAGTTACACGTTAAGTCCGCAAATACCGTCAAACGTATAGACCAGTGAAAGAAACACTATGTTTTTGACAAAAAAGACTAGCAACCGAAATTGTCACATACTTTACATCTTTGCGGGTTTCAATAATTTCGCTCCCGAACGATCAGCACTTTCCTTCTGGACATAATCGATTGTTGCTTGATTTCGAAGATTTTGCGACAGACAGTCAATGGCTCTGACATTGTCCTTGTGATTTAAATCCTGTATATCTTTATATAGTGTTCACGAATGACACTTTTTGGAGACTTGTGGTAGGTTATAAATTTCAACTCGGGTGGCTTCAGTCTGTCATACACAGACTGAATATTATTATGTGCGAATATAATAATGCGAAAAAATCTTTCTCTTGTCTTTCTGTACACTTTCTGTTAGCGTTCGTACAAGACTTCAATCGCTAAATTTGATTGTCTAATCGTAGAGCCCTAATAATATCTAATCTTGTTTTTCGCTTAGAACGTGAGGGATTACAGGAAATATCATTTTGTAACTAGAGTTCTTTCTTTTTGAAGAAGTCGTGCGCGTAAAGTCACAATGTCGTCAGTGAAAACGCGATATTCCTTGTCGGGATGTTTCAACATCGTGAGTTTCTTCTCATCTTTGTGGTTTTTCGCGGCCGAGGAGGAATAGCGAGGCACGTTTGCGGAAAAATAAAGTCGCGACCATTTTTCATTCCGGCAGCAAGGTGACCGCGAGACCGCCCTTTCGTGACATACTTTTCTCGGTTAGATAGAGAGATAAATGTAGATGGCACAGTAAATTACGCTGCTTTCCGAAGCTCATGAGTAATTGATCGAGCCCTCTGCTCCTCCTTCTACCGCGATAACAATCGCCGGGCTGCTTTCACAATGAGACCGATTATTCTGTAATGGCACTCGTGCCGCACGGTACGTTATATTTTAAATTATTATCCAGAGACCTGGAATCGATAATCATATCATTATATTACATAGCGATGATTGATTTCAAGTTCTGATTGCTCTTCTCGCCCGACGATGTCTCGCTGTGAACTTTATGTTAACACGTTCGCGGTTTATGTAAAGAACTCTCCTCAAAGCCCACCTCATATTCTTTTTATTACGTAATTTTTAAAACAAACTTAGTTTAATAATGTGAATGTAGAAACAAATTTTGCCATCACGCACATATGACGCTGGTCTTTAATGAAATACAAGAAACAAGTACTTGATGGGAAAAAGTATGCATGAGTCGCTGTGAGAAGCCGGCACTCATGCACGAACGCGAAAACCGTTTCGAGTTTTATAATTACGAAAACTTTAGGCTTGCACGTGCCGAGACTAATTACAGGACGATCGATAATTACTTTGCTACGCGGCAAAATAAAACGGAGAAAGTTTTGGGACACTGTCGTAAACACCTGAGGAAATTTCCATGCCGAAAGTTTAATCGAGTCCCGATCCTCTCTCGATCCCTTCTTAATAGACTTTCAAATTGAGTAATATGGCAAATATAATTCATGGCACGTTCCGCGGGATATCCCTAAATATTTTTTTTTTTTTTTTTTTAAACAGTAATGTAATTTTAAATTCGCCGGCTGATCTTTATCGGATTACAGACTAAAGTTTTGTCAAATTCTAAGGTTCTTCTCATTCACGAAAGTAAACGATCATTTTACGGAAAACAAAAACAAATCTCTATATTAAATCGTGTACAAACTCGGAGCTGGTCGTTATACGAATTAATTTTTAACAAAACAAACATATATTCTCTTCGTGTATTTATTAATAAAACGAAAGAGAAATGGTAGTTAATATTTATTTATCACAAAGCAACGAAAGCAAGCTTTTATTCTAGTAAATTCTGATGCAAATGCGCGAGTACAAAAACAAAAATCTGTCCAGTTTCCGATACAAATTTATTGGTTATTTATAAACTTTATTTACGTTATTTACAAGTGTATATATCGCATTACGAGTGAATATATTATATTTTATATTTGTTATTCATAACTTGTTGTTGTCAACATTAAATCAAATTTATAAAATTTTGCTTGCGAGTGAAATCAAGCCACACGACTTTTTAAATGCAAAAAAACGCGTATCAAAATTACTATCTATAACTTTTCTACGAAAGAAATATTTTTATTTTATAGTCGGGTGGAAATTATTTACTAATTTCACAATTGATGGACACACATCTTGGTTTCTCAGAGCGACTCATGATCTTTCCGATCAAGTACTTGTTTCTCGTATCTTTGGTATCAAGAAGCAATCTATTTTCTTTTGTATTTTGAGATTTATTTCAAAGTAAACACATTCGCTACCAACGTCGCATATATGTGCGATGCAACGATCTCTCACTAGAGATCAGTATTACATGTACGTACGGCAAAATTTTTTTGGTCTCGTCAAAAATGTAATAACCGAGTTTATCTGGACCATCGTAATAAAGGTGACAGAATACGCAAGATTTACGAAGTTTCAAACTCGGGTGCATCAGACGTTTGTTCAGCTGTGTGAGCTACTCGAACTCTCAGAAAATTCCGAAAATATCTTAACAACACGTCTTATTCTTATAAGACGTGTACGTTGATTGCGACTGGAATACCGATTCGAGTGACGCGGCAGTCTCATATCCGATTGAACGTCCGCAAAGCCGAGTACACGCTTGCACGGGACGCATGGCAGGTACTAGGACAGTAGGAGGTACGAGAAGCTTCTAACAAATCCTCGGAACACACCGAAGGGGGGCATAGCCTTCTAATGGCACTTTCACCACGGCGGTCATAAATCAAACGAGCCAGCTCGTCCGACGGCTTTAATCGGCGCTTTTTTGGCGCGGCTCCCAGAAGAGGGTAGTCTTGAAGGTAGCTTGGTGAAATCGCCAAAGCGAAAAATCGTAAACTCCAGCCGGTGGAGCCGGCCGGTGTGTATACCGCTGACGGAGGTGCTATCAATTTCTCGCGAAGCTGCGTCGCGGAAACCATCCTAATCTACTTTCCCTATCCGCACTTGATCGCCGCTTCCTGACGGACGAGTTGGTCGTTTAGAGTCGTTGGAAGCTCCTCATACCTTCTACCATCCTGCTACCTGCTATACGTCACGCGCAAACGCACGAACGACTAGCTGCGCACACAAGAACAGCCAGGTGGGAGTCACGTCGCACGCTACTTGCGACATGAGTCCGTACGAGCCCCCTCTCCCAGTCCCCTCCGCAGTATACATGTATGTACACACATGTCTGGGAAAGTATAGATAAAATAAAATTCCTAGATAAGCGTTCGGATAGCTCGCATATCTGAACGATAGTATACCTGAGTTCGGCATCCTGTAAAACTCGCGTGTGCTCTCATCGGTATTGTGACTTGAAGGAACGTCCCTTTGGACGAAATTAGAAAGAGAGAAGTTTATTGAATGAACAGATAAAGAAAATATATATATATATATATTTCTTTGTGAAATTTTTACTTGATTATTTTAATTATTTGAATTGTGTAAGTTTTTACCGAATAAAAACAAGAAGTAAGGATTGGAAAAAAATATTTGAAACGTTGCAAAGCACATAGAAGACATTTTTTTTAAACAGTCATGTCGTTTTCTTTTTTTCTTTTTTTGTCTCTCAATGTACGCAGGCTCGATAATAATCGCGACCGATTGCCTCTTAGTGTCTCAAGGGAAACATTGGCGGACGAGAAGGGGGCTACGATTGACAGGGGAAATTGAAGGGGGAAAATCAATTATCGAAGTACGCGACGCCCGTGATCGGATTGTTTGTGCATGCGACTATACCGACTACATGTCTCACGGTCTTTCTCCCTCTTCGGTTTCTCCATTAAGAGCGGAAAAGTAGAATGATTCCTAACGGGTAATATCTTCACGAGGAATGAATGAAGCGGGGAGTATTAATATACGAACGTCAGACGTGACCGCGGAAATACGTATCTTACTTTCCACGCAGGGTTTTACGATACCAGCCTCTTGCGTCGAGCCATACTAAACGCCAGGTTTTCGATACCAGCCTGATATTGGCAGCTCGGCATCGGAACACACACTCGGAAAAGTGTCATTCGAAAAAAATGTCATTCGGAAAAAGTAACACGAAAATCTCAATGTGAAAGTTTTCAAAGTGCACGTGAAACTTCGCGACAGAAACTTCCTGCACTTTCTATTTTATTTGGGACCGATTTTTCAATGGTAGTTTAAACTTAGATTCAAGTTTAAATTCTGTTCTGACGACACGTTTGATGTGTTTGAACAGAGCTTAAAGTTAAATATAAGTTACGGAGTTTTAAACTTGAATCTACGTTTAAATTATTACAAAATCGGTCCTCTTAGTCTATATATATTTATATTTTGACTATATATATTTTGACTATATATATTTTGACTTCCCCATACGTTTAGAGAAAAAATACCTCAGAAATAATAAATATTTATTCGGTGAATACACTATTAACACACTTAATATTAAAACCTTGTTTTTCAAACAAAGAAATATTTTCTTAAAATTTTAAGAAAAATCGTAAGTATATCTTAGAATTTTACGTGATTGTTTGAAAAATGGTAGGCAAATTTTTTGTCCAATTTTGACCTAATCTGCCTGCATTCGTGCTTTTTTGGCCATCTCGTGTCAGACACCCTTTATGCAACCGGTGCTTGTCGCGATATGTCGAGTCAGCGTCTCTTGCCTTGGTTATTACCCATCGACTCGCTCAAATAGTCATAGAAGCAGATTTATCGATTGGATTTGTTAATCTTGGGTCAGAAATGCGGTGGCAATCAGAGATAGATAAATAATATGACGTCGACTTCATAGCTACTTTAACCGACCGACGCGTCAATTAAAAAGAGCACCGTTGTCGACAGCTTGTCATTTTCTAACGAGATTCGTCGCTCGTCGTTATTTTCACGTAGAAAAGCCGCAGCGACATGACGTAAATCGTATCTGAAAACTGAGACTCTGTCTTGCCTCCCAGAAGAGAACGATTGTGTCTCTGTATTATTGATTAATTTAGCAATATATTGAACAATCGATCGTCTTTCTCCCAAGATAAAGATAAATCCACGATTAAGAGTACAATTTTAACTTCGCCAAAATTGTGGAGATAAATGGAATATAGTATCCCCTTGCGAGAAAAATATTGTAAGAGCGAAGTTATATTTATAAGCTTAATATTCATAAACTGTGTGTTCTAATAGTGCGATTTTATCAAACTGTCCAAAAACCGTCGGACGGTCGTTGCATATGTACTTTGCTCGCGTCAATTAACATTTCATGACGTGGCATTACGCGCTGTATTAAGCATAAAACGATATTTCTCGCTGCTGACAGCGTACTTTAATGTTTGTCTGCGAGCGCCGTTGGCAACGTCCGGAATGACGTCGTTCCTTCCCGTCGTCAACTATTAAGAAATCGATGTTAACACGTTCGCTTCGAGTGAACCCAAGTGCCTCGAGTAAGAATCACCCGAAGCGAATCCATTAAGTATGCGCGAAACGACGAAACGTCGAGGAACTGGCACGTCGCTAAAGGCAAGTTTCGTATTGGTTTCAGCACGGCGACAAGAATCTGGAGAACGTGACACACGAAGAGGCTGTCGCGACCCTGAAAGCGACCCAAGATCGCGTCGTGCTTCTGGTCGCAAAACCGGAACGTGGAATTATACCTCCGCCTCCTCCTCCAATAGCGTCGGACAATTCTCTCTCGCCTCAGCCACGTAAGTCGTTCGATTTCTAAATATTTCATACTTATACTCACCGTTCGCTCACCGGTCATTGGAACTAGTGTGTTGTCAGTATAAGTCACGGTGTATTTCTACACCCGGGCATCCCCGGGTAGTAAATAGCCACGAGTATGCAATATACTCGTTCGTTATCTCTTATTGCTAAAAAGAATCAATAACCCGAAAATAACTAATTATTTTATGTACCCATTAAATTAACTTGCTCATGTGCAGAAAGCAAAATAAAGCCTTTCGATTCCAGTTGGCGTGAAACCCTCAAATCAATATTTATATTCGAGTAATATACCCGAAAGACCCGACCACTTGCCCGAATAATCGATAACGCTAATTGGAACGTTAGAAGAAGCCGACGCGCGTTAATAATTTCACGCGGGCTGATTGACTGACGTCACGCTCGAGCTTTAATTGCACACACAGTAACGCCCAGAACACGAATCTGCATTTTAATATCGCGCTTCTTCAAGGTATTTTCATTGACCCGTGATGACTCTGAAGAAAATACGGGAAGAAGCGGACGCGTTCGTTACGATATAAACGCAAACACAATTTCGTGGACTATCAATCAGGCGACGACGAAATAAAATTGCGGCGTGGAGGCCGCCGGGACCCCGTGATTTACGCGACGAAGGTGCCCGAAAATTCCAACCGAGCGCGATTTAATAACCATCCCGCAAGAAGCGTCGCTTCGCCGCCGCCGCCATCATCGTCGTCATCTCCGTCGCGCGGTCGCATTTTTCTCCGTTTTTCCAGCGCGCGTGGGCTTCGATCGAAATAATAATTACGACGTCCTATTAATTATTCAAAGCCGCGCGCGCGCGATGCGTTGAAATTCAAATGAACCGTGTCCCTCCCAATCTCCCCTCCTGTCCGTTTTCTCCAGCCTGCCCGGCTGGAAATAAACACGGACGAGCTCGGTCTCGCGTCGAGGGGCGCGGAAATGAATTTTTGATCCGCTGGTCTTCCCCGTCACCGGAATTTTCCGACGATCGGGCCGTAACTTATTCATCGCTCTCGTAAAGTGGGGATCTCGTAAACTCACCACGGTTCGTGCGGCGACTCCGTCTTACCTCTGCTCTCCTACCTGGTCTGTCTTCCCGCGCGCGCTCAGAAACGTACCGATCGGGGAAATCTCGAGAGTGCGACGTTAAAATTCGATGGCGCCGCGCGCGTTCGCTCGCTCGGTATATCGGGAAAAAAAGCGACTGTGCCAGCTCAGCGAAATCGTTTTGAGAGAAATTCGCGTACGAGTGCAGACGGAGAAGGGAGATCGATCGTCATTAAGCGTTTTCACGCGAACGGTTACAGGCGAATGGTGAAAAATTGCTTCCCAAAGTATTCGAGACACGCTAAGCCCCGGCGGTCCCTTGCAATATTTCCGTGTTAATTCTCCCCCATCCCCGACCCCCGAACGAAGAGGTGCACGTCGCAACGCAAACGATACAGTTTGGCGATTCGAGCTAAAAAAAAACCGGGGCTCAACGCGGTGCTTCGACGCCGGTTGAATTCAAATTGCCCCTTTAATGCGCCGGCGGATCGGTGCTCCCGAGATTATTCGAATATTTGCTTTAATCTTCAGCTGCCGAGAAGCGGGAGGCTCGAGCCGAGTTTTCCAGAGAAAACATCTCAGTGCGAATAAACAAGCCGACGCACGTCGGTTCGAAAACGCTATTTTCTATCTTGGCTTTCTTGTTTGTCTTTTTTTCCACTTGTTTTTATGCAGAGTATACACACGCGGACGGACGAATCAAATCTAGATAAAATAGTATGTGGAGTGTCTTAGACTCAAAAAGATATACCGAACAATACAAACATCTCATTTGTCCCGAGAGAGATAGAAGAGTTCCGTCGATATATCAGACTATATAATGACTGTTTAATCAATACTGGTGTAATAAGGTGTGTTTGATTTTTTTCTACTTTAACAGGCAAGCAAAACGGCTCCGTGTCGGCGCTAGAGAACAACACCGCGGCGCTTCCGTACTCGCAGGAGTCACGCCACGCGTCTTCCCTCGCTTTGCACGGCACAGGGACACCACGCGCTGTTTCCCAGGAAGACGTTTCACGGTGAGTCCCATTAATTTCGTCCTAGCGAACCGTCTCTACTGCGACCCTCCTCCTGCCAGCAGTCGTTCCTTTTTCGCGTGAGGATGCGACGCGTGGTATCGTATATCCGCGTTTTCGCGAGTTCAAGACGAAGCTGATCGCCTTCGTTCCTCGTGCGATTTCGCCGCTTTATACGTCGCGCAAGTTGCCCCATTTTATCGCCACTCCCTCGATAAGACCCCGTG